TCTTTTGGGATGGAGCAGGAAAAGAGATGAGGGTGTAGAAAGAAATCCTATTGTCGGGGTCTTACAATAACTGTTGGTTAACTTAATATGACTCCTTGAGGTAGAACAACTCACTTTTCTGCTCTTCTATAGCAGTAATCATTCCCATAAATTTTCTAATTCTGACCTACAGGGTTGTAGGGATTATAAAGAGGGTAAATAAGGGGCAATTCCAAGGAAGCCCAGTTTGTGTCACCTAGAAGTGAACACAATGGTACATTTGTGCATGGAGAAGAAGCAAAGGACGGGGTAGAAGAGGGATATGGATAGTATTGGCTAGGATAATGGGGGCATTAAGAATTGCCAGGATCACTGGGGTAATTCAGGTCCTGGTTAGATAGGACAGAGCTTTGTAGGGCCTGGACGCTTCCATAGAGTATGGATCTCATCCTCAGCACATCCAGGAGTGCTTTACAGGAGATTCCATCTGAGCAGAAAGCATCTACCTATAACCCGGTTCTTAAGGTCCAGAACACCTGGAAGGGTATACAGTTACTTAACAAGCCAGTGTTGACAATCATGGTCAACAGCACATTTTGAGGCCAGAGCATGGCACAAAATATTTCTTCTGTTTCATTCTAGACCAAACTGAGTTAGCCTTAGAAAGATACCTGGAAATCTTTTTTTTTAATTTCTTTTTTATTCTCCTAGTTTTGTCCTTCCTTTGTCTTGCAGAAACTGCTTCCATCCTCCAGGTACCTCCAACGGGTAGGTCCCAGTAGTTTTCACCCAGGGATGGTGACAATAGAATTTTAAAGCCCCTCCTTGGTATTTTCTTAGGTCTTTAGACTCTTTACAGAAGCACATTTATAAGACAAACTCTCCAATTGCTACTCTTAATCAATTATCATAGTTTTGATGCTTGTTGTGATAAAAGATTCATCCCTAACAGAGGGTGAGTAGGAACACAGCAGGCCAAGGGATGGAGAACCCTATTCTGACATACACCATGGCTGTCTATAGGTCAGGACCTGGCGCAGCCCTGGGCAATATCCAGTTGTTTTGAGACTTGTAAGGAGGAAACTGAGAAGGTGAGGGATACGTAAAGTCTGATTAAGAGTAGTGGACGTATTAAATGGAAGCATATGTGGGGTCAAATTTGAGGGCAGTGGTATGAGATTATAATGACGTAGCCCTCTGCCTACTTTATCCATTTGTGCACAAGGGCTTTCTTTTTAGATGCTAGAACCAACCAAGCTCTTATATTTGGTATGTGTCCTTTCTGCCCTTTAAAATGCTTGGGTTTTCTTTCTATGGATTTTCATTAATATGTATATCTTGGTAGAGAAAGAGTGCATCTTATTTCTTTGGAGTCATTTATATAATAGAAACTGAAATTCAGATCATCTTATGAGGTGTATAAATCTGATCAGAAGCTAAAAAGCATTGAAAGCATCTAATAAGTGTAATACATTATTTTTTGTTATAGAAACATTATTTTGAATACAAATTCTATTGAGAGTGACTGAGGATTTATTAGTTAATATTTATAAATCTATTTATGCTGCCTAGATAAATGGAAAATCTAAACAGTTATGGTCAGAAAGGCTGAAATGAGTTTGAGCTTGGTGACATAAAACTTTCATCTGTTGGCCTCTTTCCTCAATGTCTGTAGGCAAACACTCACTCATCTGAAGTTTTGACCTTGAAGATTTCAAAGGAAGGAGCTGAGATGCAAGTAAGCAGAAGGTATGGGTTTCTTGAAATTTATTTTCTTTAAATTTGACACTCAAAGGAAAAAAAATATAGTCATCAATTTGATGGTCATACACAAGAAAGGGGTACTTACCCTGTGAGGCAGTATATCATGAGAGTTGAGAATGAAAGCTTTGGAGCCATACTCCCTGAGTTCACATCCCAGTTTTGCCACCTGTTAACTGTGTGGCATTAAGCAGGTCACTTAAATTCTCTGTGTTTCAATTACCATCCTTTGATTGCTTAGGTATTTGGATGGCAATGTGCCAAATGGTATATGCCTTTTCTACCAAACACTTTATTGATTTTGAGTAATATATGCAAAGTGTGTAAGTAATGCTTTAGCAGTTAGTATTTGCATATGCAAGCTGCCATTAACCAGTATACTTTGTACAATAAGGAGATCTACTGGAAAACCAGTGGAAACTTACTGAATGGAAGACAGGCAGAGAGCCAAGTTTGGGAAAAGGGCAGGAGTCAAAGATGCCACGGAGGCAGGCAACAAGAGCCACACCCAGGTCATTTCTGGGACTGGTCTGGCTTTCAGAGCTCCTCTGCTACTGGGATGCTTCTGACCTCCAAACATTTTCTCCTGTTCTATCTGCTCCCAAGTTTGAGAGTCCTGGAATCAAGGATGTTTGGTTGAGTTTCTTGCACGGCTCTTCCTGCCCTTCTCCCTGCACTGTATCAGGAGTGGGTAAGAGATGTATTTGACCCTCTTGGTTTCCATAACAGGAGGTGGCAGTGGAAAGCAGTCACTGGAATCCATCCTTCTGTCAACATTAGATAAAATGGAGAATTCTTACCAGTAGGAACATGTGGTGTTTCTGCATAGAAAAAAAAATCACAAATCTCTGCTTTACTTACATAAGACTTCAAATTATCCTCAGTAGCTCCATGAGCCATAGTATAATGGTAAATAACAACTGGCTCGCTGGCCCTGATTTGTAGCATTTGTACATTTCCAAGGGCAAACACTCCTACTGTGGCCAATTTCAGGCTACCTGCATGACATCTGAAAGCAGTTGAGAAGAGAGGTACAGTAATATACTATTATATAATATTTTAGCCATACAGCTACAGCACATGTACATAACTTCAAGGGCACAGATGATAGGGAAATGTAAAATAATTCAGAAGTAATGAGCTTTAAGTATTTATTACCTTTGTTGTTAATATAATTTATTTAATTGTAAATTTGTATGATCTAATTTTTAATAATAGCTATATTTTAACAAATGGCTTGCAAAATTTTCAAAAAAAAATTTGTGAACCAGCTCACCACTGCCTATGAGATGGATCAATAATGTTATTGAGAGAGAGATTTCTTACACAGTGCAAGGCTTGGTGAGAGGCCTAGAACCTGGACATTTTGTACAGTACATTTTTGTTCATTGGGGATCCTCAGTAACAGATTAATAATAGTATCTGACATTTATCTAACAAAACATATTCTTATTCAACATCCCATTCATTTTTTATTCTCGCAACAAACCCAGGGAAAAGGTAAGCAAGGTATATTACAGGTGAGGGAACTGAGAGAACTGAAGTGACCACTGACAGATGGAGTGGAAACTCGATTTGGTTCCCTGAGACTTCCAGTTCACAGCGTATTCCATATCATCCTGTTTCTCTGAACCCTTTGACACCCTGGAACAGCCATTTATTATGGGAAGACCAGTAAATAATCTGGGAAGTTTATGTCAGGTCTTATTTCCTGAATTCTGCCCAGGGGGCCCTCCTGTATCTTTACAAATAAAAAAATGAAATAAAATGGGAGGCCCACAGAATGGACAATGGTAATGTGTTGCATTAGCAGTGTTGATGGCCAGACTTCAAGGTGGCCCCATTAGCCATCCTTACCCCTGATGTTCATGTCCTTGGACTCCTTCACTGAATAAGGAAGGCTATGTGTGTAACTACTAGGGCATCACAGAAGTGATGGTATACCACTTTTTAAAATATTTTATTTATTTATTCATGAGAGACACAGAGAAGCAGGCTCCTCATGGGGAGCCCTATGCGGGACTTGATCCCAGGATCCTGGGATCAGGCCCTGAGCTGAAGGCAGTTGCTCAACCACTGAGCTACCCAGATGCCCCGGTATACCACTTCTTAAGCTAGCTGCAAAGAGCACTGCAATTTCTGCTTTGGTCTCTTGGGTCACTTGCTCTGGGGGAGGCCAGCACAGTGTTGTAAGCACACACACACAGCCCACATGGCAAAGAGCTGAGGCCTACCAGCAACAGCCAGCACGACTTGTCAGTCATATAAGTGAGCTACCTGGGAAAGGTGGAAGTGGATACTCTAGTTCCATTCAAACTTTCAGGTGACGTGGTCTTGCCTGACATCCAGCTGTAACCTCATGAGAAACCCCAGGCCAGAATCACCAACTTAAGTTCTACCAAACTCTTGACTCTGAGAGTTTCTCAAACAGTGTGAGAGAACTAATTTTTGTGTTGTCTTAAGCCACTAAGTTTTGGGTAATTTGTTACACAGCAGTAGATAGACTGAATTTCTTTACAAGCTGCACTAGATCTGCTATGGGTGATCTTAAATACAGAGAGGTGTTAGGGACTTAAAGGCACATTTCAAGTAATCGTTTATTGTTGTTTCGTTTTTGCTTTCCACCAAGGAAATTCAATTTCAAGTCAACTGTTCTGAAGCTTTGTACAATATAACTTTTGAAATGCATTTTGTTCTTAATGTTTTCCTAAATGACCTGTTGTTGTCCACAAGAAGAGCACTCTCTTAAGTGCATCTGCAACTCTGAAGGGCAAGGCAACCTGAACTGGAATTCACTGGCACTGTTAAGTCATCTCATCATAGCCCCTTAGACCCCCACCTTCACTACTATTTCTAATTCTTTAGGGTTTCTGGGCCCTGGCAGCTTTTCCCTTTGGGAAAACCAGGACCAGGGAAAAATAATCAAAGAAGTTAATTGGGAAGGGAGGGGGCCTAGGGACCCATTGGATGTTGGGGGTGGAAATCTTAAGCTCGTTTGCAAACCACCAGCCCCAACATCCCTTGGGAAACTGAGCCTTGACCGGTTCTCCAGGTGTCCCCGCCCGCTAAATTGGCTCCTAGAAAAATCCGCTCTCCTCTCCAAGAGCTCAGGAGAGGATCTCAGCGAAGCGGGAGGCTCTTGTGCCTGCTGGGAGAGGCGGAGCTGAGATTAACCAGCTCCTTGGCGCGTTTCCTCCGAGCTGGGGGAGGTCGAGCACGGACGGGGAGTAGGCGCCCAACTTGGGGGGCCCGTCCGCGGGCGGAGGAGACCGGGAGGTGGGGAGAGCGGGCGGCAAGCCTTGCGGGCACTGCCACGGAGCGCCGGCGCCTCCAGCATGGAGTGGGAGCTTAACTTTCTGCTCTACCTGGCGCTCTTCTTCTTCTTGCTCTTCTTACTTTTCCTCCTGCTCTTCGTGGTCATCAAGCAGCTGAAGAACTCCGTGGCCAGCACGGCCGGGGCGCTGCAGCCCGGGCGTCTCTCCGTGCACCGGGAGCCCTGGGGCTTCTCCCGCGAGCAGGCGGTGTGACCCGTAAGGCGCGAGCGCCCGCGGGAGGGCGCGGAGCTGCGCGGGCGCCGGCCTGGCTCTCAGCCTCGACTCCCCGACCGCCAGGTCCCAGGGCCAGGCCAGGTTTTAAACTCCGGCAGGTGCGTTCGGGTGTGCGAGGGGTCGGCGGTGGGGCGAGTTGCTTGGCCCCTCGGGGAGGCTCTGGGCTGGAAGCATGCTCGGTGGCCAGGCTCGGCGGGTGTATGGGGTCTAGGCTGGTGCTGTGCCCGCAGGCACCGACCCTCCGCCTTTCCGGGGTGGGGAGCGATGGAGAAACAGACGTTCAGCCGTTGGAGCCGGGATGGCTTCGGGCACCTGCAAGCTCTTCCTCCCCGCCCCACTGCGTTTTAGCTTGTCCGGAAAGCATGAGAACTAAATCATTCAGTTAATTCAATCCAGCCACTTACAAACCAAATTCGATTCCAAAAATCGCATGTCAACCTAAATGTCCAAATTACTGAGAGAGTGTGGGCTCTGGGACAGGAAGCGGGAGGAAACAGTGCACCCCTCGAAGTATGCCAAATACTGCTTTGGATGTCTGCGCTTTGCTAGACGCTAACTGGGGTTCCTGTGACGGTGCCCGAGAGGATGCAGTGGCCCTTCTTCCCCGTAGTCTCTACTCTTGTAGCCACCGACTCATTGATGCCTTCAGAGTTGCCACAGCAGGTGGATTTAGAATCTGGAACAGGCGGGAGGGTGAGCGTTAGCGAGTCATTTGGGAGATGCCTTGGGGTGGTGAAAAGAGGTGCTATTTACACATTGTAGGGCAACAGGAAAAAAGAGGACGGGGAGGAGCGAGGCTGTCGTTTCAGGTTGTAAGACTAGACCGTTTGCCAGAAGATTGGCAGGCAGCATTAAACATATTAATGTGCCCTAAGCATCCTCCAGGCAATGTCAGCTTAGGGGAATAACAGTTTCATCTTTCAGATGCTTTTTCCTCAATTTATGTCGTCTCGAGTTCTGGAGTCGAGCTGTTGCCCTGGGTGGGTGCACTGAAGGCCGCCACTGCAGTTACAGCCGGCAAGGAGCGCCCCTGCCCAGAGAGGACCCCAACCACCCGAGTTGGACATTTTCTGCAATGGTAAGCAGGGGGGCCTCCTTGATTTCACTTCGTCCCTGGTTGTAGCTGAACTTCTAAAGACCCAGAGCCTAAAACAGTGAGAGGTTAGGATGGAGGAAGTGGGTGCAATGAAAGGGGTCTCTCTCTCTCTCTCCCTCTTAGAACCCAATGAGCTTTCTACTAGAACTGAGGCACCCTACTGATTCCTAACTGCAAGAATCAGTGTCTATGCAGAGGAGCATAGAAACTAGGATGGGATGTGAGGAATGTTTACAATTATAATAATCATTTTGGAAAACAGTACAGGGGGTCTTGGAGTTAGTTGAAATACACAATGCAGACATAATTTGTCTTCAGTAAGGGAAGATTCCGGTTCAGTGATGTTAAGGTGGGATAAGCTGTACATGTCATGACTGGATATTGAAAACATTTATTGATTTTAGGTACAGGGGTCATGTAGAGAGGATAAAAACAACAAAATACTAAGTTTTGCCTAAGTTGACAATATGAAAGTGAAGTGGAAGATAATTTTGATAATTCAAGGGGAGGAAAAATACTGTCATGTTGGTAAATGATTATGGGAAAAATTTTTTGGCTGAGACATTCAGATATTTTCCCCTACTTCTATTTCATTTTTGTGTTTTTAATGAAGCATAGGGATGTGTGTATATATATTTCTCTTTATATATAGAAGCATATATGTAATTCTCTCTATATAAATAATTCTATATCTCTATCTACCTGTCTATACTTCTCTTTATCCGGGCCATAGTACGATTTGTTTTGAATTTCCAGTTTGAATCCTGGAATCAACTGCAGTGACTCTATCTTGTATTTTGAACAATAGTTCTCTAATCGGTTGAGACCCCTGCAGTGACTTTTAGTTATTGGGTTGGATGATTAATATGGACATTGAAGATGAGTGTGGGAGTAGTTTATTAGCAATTGCAGTTGTTTACAAGGATGGAAAACAGTCACTTCATACTTTATAAATAACCAGAAGGCAAATTATTTTAACTACCTCCTTGACTTCTTGAGTTTGTAATACTTTAATCTTCCCAGGGGTGCAGCTGGCATCCAGAGGTTTAAACCTACCCTTACTCTTCTAGAGACAAGACTAGAGAACTCAGGGTGAGTAGTTTGCTGCCATCCCTGTGTAAAGCCAAATCCTGTATGGTTCTACTGACTCTGCTTTCTGTGAAAGGAGTGGTCACTTTTCTATCTTGTGCCCAGTGCCATTTTATAACCCCCTTGTTATCTAATTATTAGTTGCTAAATTCCCATTTGTCTCAGCCGAAAAAGAAAAAAAAGAATATTTATTCCTGTTATTCAATCTCTGCTTAGAACTTGGCCCTAAACTCTGAAAATTAAAGTCCCTCTCATTTGCTCTCAGAACTTGCTGCTGTTAATCTCCTGCCTTGCCTTTGCTTAGTTAGGCACTCTGCTTTTGAATTTTGGACACCCGTATGTGAGCTGCCTTTTTCTATTCATTTATTCAACTATCGTTTTTCCAAAACTCAACAAAGACCGATCTCCTAAATTAGAACTACTTTTGACCTCACTTTTTTTTTTCTGTCTGTATATTCTTGATATAATGCTCCGACACCCACAATTGTCTAGATTCCTAGTTTGTATGTGTTGGCTGCTCTATTGACCACATTCTGATCCTGACTATCACTATACCAAGTCTATTTTTGAAGATGGTATGCATGTGGGCTAGACATTAAAACATTTGAAAAGTCAGGAATGTTTAAAATAACTGCTCATTATACAAGTATAACTTGATCATAGAAAATTCTTATGTTCTATTTCCAATGAACAGTTTTTAGGGATTCTTCAGCAATGTTAGAAGCTGAGTTGAATTTCTTACATTATAAGGAAATAGGCCATAATTCAATTATTAGGAAATACTAGTATATTACTTCAAGTTTCCTTATTTCATTGTTGTCTTTAAATTTCAGTTGTTTGAAATGACTTCAAATTTTATTAAGATAATCTTGATTGTTTCTCTGATTTCCAAACCTGTAAGTGCAATGAATCAGCAGTTCCGCTTGGAAAGATAACCATTTTAAGTTGAATGAGAATGACATCACACTTACACCTGCAAAGTCTGAAATGTCTAATAAAGTAGATTCCTATGTTTGAACTTCAATTTTGGGGCACAGCTGTAGATGCAGGACGGATGCCATCTGGTGCAGTTCCACAGAAAAAGAGATAAAATTTACCCAGAGTGTGCCATGCACTGGCTTTTCTGGGAATGACAAGGTGCCAGGATTTGTTTTTGGTTCATTTGCAGGGGTGGAAACTTGGAACTAGGTAAGTAAAATACATGCAATATCTCCATTTATAGCTTGACATTTTGTATTTCCAATTTTGTTTATACTTTCAAAATAAGTGCAAAAGAGTTAACTTTTAAAAAATGCCCCCCCAAAATAAAAAAAATGCCCCCAAATTTAAACATTGTAACTAATTAAAACATTTAGGATAGTGGGAAATGTTTACTTTTTCTAACTCATAACTACTAAGCTAGGGACTTTTAGAATACTATTGGTACTAATGCAGTACATGGAACATATTTACAGAGTACTGTACTTTGGTTTTAATTTCTATAGCTACTCTGAGGTAGATGTGCTTATTTAAGCTAAAACCACAATTAAAACTCTGGTATCATTAGCAAATCACTGTCAGGTGTCTGTGTCACATACAAGGGAAAGTTAAAAATTAAGCTGCAGATCTTTGAGGTTAATTTTTTGGTGGGGAGGTTTGAATCAGTGAAATTAATTCTCAACTCTACATTTCTTACTGTGTCCACACAAAATAAAATTATAGATTAAATAATGACCTGATTAATTATCTGAGTAGTTAGCATCTTAGTACGTAGGAATGGGGGCAATCAGAGGGCAGACGTGTGCTTAGAACCATAGTCAGAACATAATAGGCACTCAGAAAAAGACTTCCTGATGAATTAAGCTAAAAATCCTCTTATTCTCCTTAATAGTAGCTATTTTATGTAATAGCCCTAATGATTTCTTCCACCATTGTGCTGTATAGACATGGGTAGGTTGAAGTTAAATTTTTTTAAAAAAATTTATTCATGAGAGACACAGAGAGGCAAAGGGATAGGCAGAGGGAGAGCAGGCTCCCTGCGGGAAGCCTGTTGCAGAACTGGATCCTAGGATACTGGGATCATGACCAGAATGGAAGGCAGGCGCTCAACCACTGAGCCACTCAGGAGCCCCTGAAGATAAAATTTTTTACTTAACTTTTGTTTTATTAGTATGACTCTGTGAGGTTACTTGAACTTTATTGAATATATATAGATTCTTCAGGCAAATTGGGTTTTTTGTTTTGTTTTGTTTGTTTTACATTAAAATGGAAATCTTGCTTTCCTATTGGGAATTAAGATGGATTGCTATCTCAGTAATAGAGGAGGAAGTTACTGGACCAAACTGTAGCTTATACATATAAGAATAGTATAGTAGGAATTTTGTTTTGTTCTCATGTGTCAAGGAGGTTAGCTCACAGATGTCAGTCAGGGTCAAGGTAGCCCCTGAGGTTCCTCTGGCTTTTCCCTTAGGTTCCAAGATGGTTGCTGCAGCTCCCCCAAGAAGTTGAAGGAAACTGAAAGGGAAAACAGGGCGCATCATTTTGATTCTGCTTCCTCTTAAAGAGCTTTCTCAGAAGCCTAACAACTTTTACTTACATCTCATTGGCTAGACTGTCATATCTGCAAGGTTGCATGAGAACTGTCGTTTTTGTAGCTGGACATATGACTGCCTTCGACAAAAAATCTGAGGAGATCTAAGGAAAAAAGATCGATGGTGGATCTTTGGGGGAACGAACTAGCAATCTGTGCCCTGGCTACAAAATACAGTTTTAAAGGAATATAATGATTGAAAGAGAACAAAATTGTAACTCATTCACAATTAATAGTACTCCAAGCAACATTGCTCTGCTCAGAGAGTGAGCAGAGTGAAGACATCCTAGGTTGTTTTCTTGAAACACCTGCCAGGACTGGCTTTCCCAGCCAGCCAGTATGGTTGCCCCACATCAGGATTTCCTAGAAGAGGACCCTGGGAACCTGTACACTTCCTTGAAGGACATAATCTATAGAAGTTTGGAATGGGAGAAAGAATGCGCTACCTTGCTGCTTTCCCATCTGCTTCATGTATCTCTAATTTTCCTTACAGATTTTTGGTAGCGTCTAGTTTGTGTTTGATCCCTGGAAAGAGATCATCCCTTTCATACATAGGAGAAGGTAATCTGTGTAAAGAAAGGCTACTTTACTCCCTTCTGTGACTCCACCACCCATCTAGGAATATCCTGGGAGAAGAATTGCTTCTCAAAGCTGATTCCATAATCAGCCTACATCCTGCCTAAGCAAAGGAAGAAGAAACACTTCCCACATCCCAAGGCTGTCCAAAAGAACTTTCTGTGATTTCTGTGATGACAGAAATGTTCTATATTTTCACTGTCCAATATGGTAGCCACTAGCCATGTGTGTCTAGTGAATGCTTGAAATGTGGCTAGTGTGACCGAGGAAGTAAACTTTCATTTTACTTAATTTTAAAACATTAAAATGTTAATAGCCATATGTGGCTAGTGGCTGTTGTGTTGTGCAGCACAGTACACAACCTTCTTTTTCTTGTGTTTTATAACCACCTGGGAAGGGTTTGAGCTAGTCATGTGCTTGATGTTCCATGGTCTTCATTATTCTACTTGGTCTTTGAACTTGTGTCCCAGGGAAAAGGAAAAATGGAATCTTGGAACTAAATTCAAGATGTTAACTTGACATCTATACATTGTATGTATTTCTGTATAAATGGAATGATCTCCTGGGAATAGGTCCTGTGATTGATTTTTGTGACAATTGATGATGGAAAAATGGTGGTTGTATTGGTCCACTTAACATTCCTAGTGAATATTATGTGTTCCTAGTCAGAGTGAGTCAGCAGGAATCATTTTGCTCTGTTGCACTATTCATTCTGGTTTATTTTTGTAATATTGTGGCTGCTAAATGATTATTCCATGTGTGTTTTTCAAAATACTTAGTGGTTTATATTTTTTAAAAGGCTGTGAAATAAAAAAATATATGTAACTCAGTTATTGTGTGTGTGAATTATTCTTACCCATAATTTTTATTTATTTTTTGTTTTTTATTTTTTTTAGTTATTTATGATAGTCACAGAAAGAGAGAGAGAGAGAGAGAGAGAGAGAGAGAGAGAGAGAGAGAGAGAGGCAGAGGGAGAAGCAGGCTCCATGCACCGGGAGCCTGACGTGGGATTTGATCCCGGGTCTCCAGGATCGCGCCCTGGGCCAAAGGCAGGCGCCAAACCGCTGCGCCACCCAGGGATCCCCTTACCCATAATTTTTAAAGAGATAGGATGAGATTAATGGACAGAAGGAAACATTTTTATATCAGATTTTTTAATGGGCATGTCTGTATGTCAATTTATCTTTTAAAAATATTAATATTTTCATCATATTCAGAGTTTGGGTAAAATATTAGGGTGGTAATGGTATTGGGGTAATTTTTTCCTGGTTGTTTTTCTATGCCAAACATCACTTGGATCTTGTTTCTCTACAGTGCCCTGTTTGGGGTTGTCTTTTATTATTGAGTTATAGGAATTCTTGATATATTCTAGATACTATTGATTTATTTCATATATACATTTAAAAACATATTTTATCTATTTATTCATGAGAGACACACAGAGAGAGGTAGAGACACAGGCAGAGGGAGAAGCAGGCTCCTCTCAGGGAGCCCAATATAGGACTCGATCCCTGGACTCTGGAATCTTGCCCTGAGCCAAAGGCAGATGTTCAACCCTGAGCCACCCAGGTGTCCCAATGATATATATGCTTTAAAGCAATTTTATCCTAGTTTGTGGCTAGCCTATTCATTTTCTTAGCAATGTCTTTAAAAGAGCTTGAATTTTGAAATTAGATGTATCCACCTTTTTAAAAAAATATTTATTTATTCATGAGATACACACACACACACACAGAGAGGCAGAGACAAGGCAGAGGGAGAAGCAGGCTCCACGCAGAGAGCCTTGACATGGAACTTGATCCTGGGTCTCCAAGATGGAGCCCTGGGCTGAAGGTGGTGCTAAACTGCTGAGCCACCCAGGATGCCCTGTATCCACCTTTTTATGTTTATTGCTTTCTAGTTGCTCTCTAAGAGACTTTTGCCTATCTTTAGGTCACAAAAATATTCTATGCTTTTTTTCTCTACTAGAAGCTTTACAGCTTTAATTTTTACTATATCTGCTACCCATCTTAAATTAATCATTGTGTAGAATGAGATGAAGATTAAAATTCTTTTTTTCTACCCATTTCTTAAGAAGACTTTTCCCTCCCCATTAGATTGCTTTGGCATCCTCATAAAAAATAAAATGATCATGTAAGCGTGGGAATATTTCTGGGCTCTCTGTTGACTTCCACAGGGTCATTCTCATCCATTACAACACTGTCTTGATTACTGTCATTTTATAATCAGTCTTGGTATTCACTACAAAATGTTATCGAATCTGAACTTTAATAATAAACTACTAAAGTCTTGGCCTACGCGCAAAAAGGGGCTCCAGTAATTTCAGTTGAAAATGGTCAAATGCAATAACAGAACCCCACCCCAATACCACGCTTCTTTTATTCTTGATCCTAGTTCTACCCTGATTCTAGATTTGGAGTAGTACGTGGTGAAAAGGGATGTCCTTGTGTTTCTACTTACCTGCATAACTAGTAAATATCTTTTTTCCCCTGTCTTTAAAATTGAGAGCAAACTACTTTTAAAAGGGACTACATTTTCTACCATACAGAAAGCTAAAGTGATGCAAAACAAAACAAAGCACAGAAGTTCATGTGTTGCTAAAATCTCATCTTTGTTATTAACATAGTATGAACCACAGGTTGAACTGCCTGGCTCAGTATTAGGACATCCATTTTGATGTTTACCCTAACCTCAGTGGTATATTTGAATGTTTGGATATCTGATCATGTGTCTTAGTAATTTATCTAGGGTAATTTAATTGGTACCATGACCCATGCCCCTTTTTACTTGCACGCAGTTTTCCAGACACTACTTCTTGTCCTGTACACATCTCAACTTGGAACTCACTGCCGAGTCTCAACCCATTAGAGGAAAAGTGAACGGTCCCCTCCATCTCCAACTATGTAATCTCAGTCCCTCCTTGGAGCTAACTGTTAACAGTTTGAGGTATATCTTTTGAAATGAGTTTCTGTGTATTTGCCACTCATAGTTATCCAGTCACATTCATTCACATTTGCATGCAAATACACAAAAGGTTTTTTTTTTTTTAATATAGATGATGTCAGAGTATTGAGAGTCTAGAATTTGCTTTCTTCTCTAATATGTTGTGGCAGGTTGTATTTTCCAAAAGATGACCAGAACAGTGTCTCCCATTTCACATGCTCTTACAATATGATTTGACATTGAGTTGGAGAGTCTATATCCCCTCTCTTTGAATTTGGGCAGGCTTGTGACAACAGAAAGAAATGACACTGTCTGACTTAAGAAGCTAGGTCAGAAAAGCAATGCAATATCCCCATTGTTTGATGAAATACCCACATTTGGAGTCCTGATTTCCCATTAAGATTGAATTATCCTGAGGCCATCATCATTCTCTGAAGAAGCCCATGCGGAGAGGCCCTGTGTAGGTGCTCTAGTCCAGAGCCCCAGCTAATGAATAACTCCCAGTTGAGGCCCTAGACTTTATGGAGTAGAGACCAGCCAGGCTCACTGGACCCTGTCTGAATCCTAATTGTTTTAAGTCACTAAGTTTGGGAGAGTTCATTACAACAATAGTAACTGGAACATATGTTTTAAAATTTTTCATGAAAATAGAATCATCCTTATTGTTTTAAATTGTTGCAGAGAATCCTCAGCAATTCATTTAACAGATGAGCTATTGAACATTAAGTCTGTTGCAAATTTTTCTAAGATTGTATTCACAGAAGTATTTCTGGGTCAAATGGTTTGGAAATCTTGAGTCAGTAGATACAGACAGTCTCCATCCTAAATGACTGTGCCAAAATATATCAATCCACTCTCCACAGTATTGACAGTATGGGTCTTTTAAAAATTTGCCATTATAGTGAATAAAAAATGCAATAAAGCCTTATAGGTTTGATTTGAAACATTATGAGGGATTTGTTCCTCTTGTGTTTGTTTGGTTTTAAGGGTGGCAAGGGGCAGAAAGAGAGAGAAAGAGAGGGAGAAAATATTAGGAGGCTCCATGCCCAGCATAAACTTAACGTATGGTTCTATCTCACCACCCTGAGATCATGACCTTAACCAAAATTAAGAGTCAGACGCTTAATTGATGAGCCACCCAGGCACCCCTGTTTCTCATGTTTTATGTTTATTGGCCACTTTAATTTCTTCTTCTCTATATGTCTATTCAAATCCTTTACCCATTTTTAATAGGTTGTTTATATATATAGTACAGATATATAATGGCTATAATACAGATATATAATGAATATTTCAAATTGCCATAGATATCAAATAATTAAATATATACATACAGTTATTAGTCACTTGTCAGTTGAAAGTTGAAATTGTTTTCTCCTGGTGAGTTGTGTATGTTTTAACTTTGTTTTATTTGTTTATTTTATTTATTTATTATTTTTCAAATTTTTATGTAAATTCTAGTTAGTTGACATATAATATTGGTTTCCACAGTAGAATTTAGTGATTCATCACTTACATATAACACCCAGTATCATGAGTGCCCTCCTCAATACCCATCTCCCTCCATCAACCCTCAGTTTGTTTCCTATTGCTAAGTCTCCTATAGTTTTCTTCTTCCTTCCTTCTTTTCCTTTCTTTTTTCTTTTATCCTTCCTTCCTTCCTCCCTCCCTTCCTTCCCCTCCCTTTTCTTTCTTTCTTCCTTCCATCCTTCCTCCCTTCCTTCCTTCCTTCCTTCCTTCCTTCCTTCCTTCCTTCCTTCCTTTCTTCCTTCTCATATGTTCATCTGTTTAATTTCCTAAATTCCACATATGAGTGAAATCATCTGCCTTTCTCTGAGTGACTTATTTTGCTTAGCATAATATACTCTTCCTCCATCCACATCATTACAAATGGCAAGATTTCATTATTTTTGATGGCTGAGTAATATTCCAGTGTGTGTGTGTGTGTGTGTGTGTGTGTGTGACAATTTCATCCATTTGTCAGTCAATGGACATTTTAGTCTCTTTCCATAGTTTGGCTATTGTTGATAATGCTGCTATAAACACTGGGGTGCATGTACCTCTTCGAATCAATATTTTTGTATCCTTTGGGTAAGTACCTAGTAGTGCAATTGCTGGATCATAGGATAGTTATATTTTTAACTTTTTGAGGAACCTCAATACTGTTTTCCAGAGTGGCTATACCAGTTTAACTTTGTTTTTTATTTCATCATACTGAAGTTTAAAATTGTATATACATACTGTTTAATCTCCGTAACAATACACTGTAGTAGAACAATTATCTCCCTCATTTTATCTTCATTATTCAAAAATTTCTTGGCTATTGTGCAGTGTGTGTGTGTTTCACATAAGAAGTTAATCAATTTATCAATTTCCGTTAAACAAAATTCCTTTGGATTTTGGTTCGGATTGCATTGAATTTCTACCTCAATTTTGGGGAAAAAAATTGACACCTTTTTTGTATACTTTAGTGATGGCTTAGATTGTTTGTTTCATATGGGCAATCTTGGATATTCCTGATTAAGTTTATGTTTAAGCATTTTATAGTTTTGGTTGATGATATATAGAGGATATATCTAGTAAATATCTTTTGCTCATAAAAGAAGGCAATTGATTTTTTAAAAAGTTTTTATTTATTTATTCATGAGAGACACAGAGAGAGAGAGAGAGAGAGAGGCAGAGACAGAGGGGGAGAAGCAGGCTCCCTGTGGGGAGCCTGATGTGGGACTCGATCCCAGGACCCTGGGATCATGCCTTGGGCCGAAGGCAGACGCTCAACTGCTGAGCCACCCAGGCATCCCGAAAGCAATTGATTTTTGTACATCATCTTGTATCTGGCTCCTTATTAAACTTTTC